TAAAAACTTGCCGGTGACAGCTCTGAAAACTTTTTGTTGAATTAAAACACATTTAATCTTTTGCTTCCAGATATCAAAATCGGTTTCCCATTAAAGGGTAACATTCCATATTGATTAGCAACCATGGCAAAACACACGAAAACCTAAGAAATGCCACACAGACACAACAAGTGAAAACCCTAGAGTAGGTCAGGTTGTGTACAAGAGGACCACGCAGTTCCGAGGCCACACTGGTGGCTGGCAGGGTATCCCCTAGCCCTAACACCACGCGCCTTTACTAATCAGGGAGAACCACTCAAGCTATCCGTGAACAGACAGACAACAGAGGAACGAGAAACAACACTCAGAAAGAACAAACTCACAGAACCCAGAAAGATGCAAAGGAACCGACCCCAACCCACAACCCCAAACACACAGAGAGACAGTCAAGAATACAAACCAATCAAGGGTCTGAACATGCAACAGGTAGATCAACACATGCAAAGGAGGGATTCAGCCGACATACCTGGGGTGTTAGCGGTCGGGATAAAATCAACCGATGGCCCGCGGGGGTAAGGGGAAGTAAACAAAATCCGGAGGCACCCGGTGCACCTGGGGTGTTTCAAGCCAATTTACCTGAGCGGATATCCAGGGGGACTATCCGACTTACCATACACGAAGAGGAAGGAGCCAAGCTCGCCAGAGGCGAGTAGCTGCTGGGTTTCCGGTGGAGCTTTCCGGCGAGAGACGGCGAGGACCAATCTCTGATACCACTGTAAAGCTGATAGATCTTCCAGCTCAGGTCTCCAGCCACATGAACCCGAGGGTTCTAGAACAACTCACAACCACCACAAAGAACCTACCGGACCGGGAACCACCACCAAGGTAGCAGAACCCAAACCCCAAACCCAGCTACCCTCTCAAACCTCTCCCTAGAGCTAACAGAGCACACACACACACACGAAGGAGGTAAAGAGAGGAGCGGAAGAAGGAGAATGGCTAGAGAGAAGCCAGACCCTCTCTCTCTAAAACGCAGAAGGCTCTAGAACTAGGGTTACAAGTATGCGGCTCTCTTACCGGGCAAAGAAAGAGGGACAGAATAAATAGGCGGGTCAAAGGGAAGCCCAAATAAGGTAAGTAGGTCAGACAGGGTAAAGGGGGTCGTGTCACAAAGGAGTGGGTCAAACAAAGAAGGTAAGATGGGCTGGGTGATATCCAATTGATAAAGGCCCAAGTCCCGGGTAAATTGGAGAAGAAGGCCAAGGCCCATAGGGCCAATACCTCTCACAAAGGCTTCCCATCGGTGGCATTTTGCCCTAGACCAAGCTATTCTCAAAGAATACAATTCTAGGATCTCGGGGTGGTTGAGACCCACCTTTAGGACTGCCCGGTCTTCCGGTCGAAAGCCAAGATTCCTTGCCGCCATTGGGCCACGGATCCCACATTTTTTATGAGAAGCAAAACAGCCAAGGCAAACCGGAACTCAGAAAAAGCCAAGGAAGTTCAATGGCACGGGGGCCGCAAACCCCAAATTCAACATAAAAAAGATCTGATAAACTCTAATTAATTAAAATTATTTCCATTACATTCCCTTATGTATATATTTTTTTGATTAACTTTGAAATCCGTGTAGGAAGGATCTCGACCCGTGAAAAAAAGGGTCACACCATGGAAACTCATGGTACATTGTTGGACGAAGAAGGGTGCTGGAACGCCGCCTCCCCACCTTTCTGAAATTGAAGTAAATAATGAAACTTCATTAATTCAATAAACTTTGAATTTTTTTGATGTCTTATATAATAAAATTTTGAACTTGTAGAAAAAATATGAGGAAGAGTGGGGGAAGAGAGTTGATGAGCTAGGTGATTCTGAAGCCGAACTTGATGAAAGTCAAGATGATGAGACCATCTTGGCGGCAACCGGAGTTTACAAGGGACGGGTGCCGTTTATGGGTTCTGAAGGTTTACGGATCCTGGAGAAGTCCAAAGGAGCTAGCTCATCTTCTCATTCGGCGTATGATGATCGGGTTACCCGCCTCGAGAAACAATTGGAGGAACGTGATGCAGAGGCTCGAAGGCGGGATGAAGAAGCTCGGATACGGGATAAAGAGGCAAGAAGAACGAGAGCAAGGTTGGAAGAGATGGAACGACAAATGTGTATGTTCAACGCCACCTACCACCCATCCATGCATATACAGCACGCCGAGACTACCCCACAAATTCCCTTCACGGGCAATATATGGGCAATATGGGCAGTAGGAGTTTTGCTAATTATAGCCATATCTCCAACAATTTTGCATATGCATATTATGATGATACCCCATTATTGACTCCCGGAGCTCAACCATATCGTGGCAGCAGCCGGGCTGACAGCCGTGGTGGCAGTCGAGGCAGCCACCGTAGCGGCAGCCGTGGCCACGGAAGGCAACCCGATCATCGCGAGGAACCTAATGATGATGATGATGATTATGATGACCGTTGATGGTTTGTAATAACTAGTTTATTGACATTTTAATGATTTTTAAATTTTGATGGTTACTGTACGAATATTAATTATTTGTGTTATATAATGATGGTTTGATTGGTTCCAAAATATGTTTAATTTATTATAAACAATGTTTATTAAGTATAAATTTTTTAAAATGCGCCTAAATTTTAATGATTATAAAATGGTTATTAAATAAACTTTTGAAATTCTAAAATAAACTTTCAAAATGCGCTGAATTTTTAATTTTTTTTTAAAAAAAATAAAACTTTTGTCACGGACGGTTCCGTGACAAAATATAAACTCAGTTTATTTAAAATAGCCAAAACGCTGAAAATAACGTAATTTTTTTTAAAAAAAAAATCTTTGTCACGGATTAAATCCGTGACAAGTTCAAAATTTTGAATATTTTCGAAATTTTTAAAGTACCCGCCCACTTGTTTCGAAATTTTTCAAAAAAATTTCAAAATTTTTTGTCACGGATATGTCCGTGACAAAATAAAAATTTGAATTTTGCAGCTCGTTTCAAATACCCGCCCACTCTATTTCGAAAACTTTTTTTTAAATTTGCAAAAACTTTGTCACGGATATTTCCGTGACAAATAATTATTTTTAATTTAAAAATATAAAAAAGTATTCGCGGTTGTGGCCGTGACAAATAAAAGGCGGTGGAGTTCCGGTGAAGTGTTTTGTCACGGACAGTGGCCGTGACAAATCCGTGACAAACTCTCTCACGGATTATTGTCCGTGACAAAAACTTTGTCACGCCCCTGGTGTCACGGATTTGGTCCGTGACAAAGTCCGTGACAAAAATCATTTGTCACGGATTTTTTGAACTACGGTCCGTGACAAAATCCGTGACAAATCAGATGTTTTTTGTAGTGAAATCAAAATTTTCTTAAAGTAGGAATACACATTTAGTTTTATATCACATTTCAAACAATAACATAATTCTAAATAATATATATACGGGAAAAATATAGATTTAGGTTGACATTGGACTTACTTCAAGCTTCATGTACTCCTCACTCAATTCACTTTTCCTTTAAATTCACAACCTTACAAGCTTCCATTGTCAAACAAATAATACAAAAGAAAACTATCATTATGTTCTCCTACTATGAAAGTCGGTTAAGACCAATAGTTTAAAAACACTCAATCGAACCTCCAAACTCTTAAAAACGCTCAATTGAGTGATTTAGGAAGTCACCAACTAGTTTTCCAATTAACTACACGTGTGGCAGACTGGCAACCCACGCGTGGACCACATGGTGTTTTTTGTCTTTCTTTTTGTTTTCCTTTATCATCTTAAATCCCAATTGAGTGATTTTATAAGCACTGACTAGGGTTTCACTAACATTGTGGGTGGCTAGGGTTTGTGATGAAGGCAGTGTCTCTGTTAGTGACTGGGTTTGTGATAAAGGCAGTAGTGTACCCATCTAGTGACTATAGTTGTGTGGTGATAAGAAATTAGTAATAACTATCAAGAAGTCATTGTTGAACTAAGCAATTAATGATCTCATCGTCACTTAATTGGGGTGGCGGAGGTGTAGTTGGCGGCGGCACTAGTGATGGTAGTGCCGTACGTTAGAAGACATTGATTAATTATAAAATAAATATAAAAATGGAAAATCGCAATAATAAATGTAATACTATCCTCCATTTCCTTTTAATTGCAACATTGATAATTTTACACTATTCACATGCTATAATTGGATTACATTTTATTTATTAATGCATGATAATTATTTTGTTGAAAAGTAGTGTTGAATTCGTCTCATTATAAATATCCATATAATCTGATTTTCAAGTTTTTTAATAATAGAGAATTAAATATAGGTGATGTAAACATTGAACACGTTTTGTAGTCACTAATAGTTACTAAATAATATTTTTGCTCTATCAGATTCTAAAGAGTATTATTACTGGAAGTTTTATCTTAAATATAATGACGGTCAAAGTTATGTGTTGACAAACATGAAAAAGAAAATGTTGCAACTAAAAGAACGGAGAAAGTATTAAATAAAAGGCATAAATACTATGGTAAGTCACATTTTTAGAAAACATTCATATTTTTGTCTTTTGTATTTATTTTAATAAAAATCATAAAAAAGCCATCATCGAAGATGTTACCTACAAATTAAATGTGTTAATACGTAAATGATCATGTTTGATCTATAATCATGAATATTTTCAATCAGCCTAAACCTATTTTTAAAAGATTGGCACTGTGATGTTCCGTCTAGCATGATATGATTTTTTCTAATATAAAATAGTTTGATAAGAGTTGATATTGTTTGTATTTTATATTGTCTAAGTGAGGTAATTCACAATTCTGGTGTGATAATGACCTTTGTTTAAGTGAAATATTTTTATGACAATAAAAGTGGAGTGTCCTCCGACACTCAAATTTTGTCATCTTTATTTTTTTGTCAATCAATATAAACATTGACTAGTTATTAAATTTTATATTCCAAATAAACATTTTCATAATATTCAATCTTGATTTTACTCAATGAATTGTGATTTACAATTTGCTCTATTATGTCAACAATGGAAAACTAACATACACACATAAAATTATTCTGTAAAAAGCAATCATATTCTTTTTCAAAAAACATTAATAGAGTGTCAGGGTGTCATACGATACTTATTACATAGAAAATTTCTTAAATAAAAAAAAAAGATAAAATGCACAAATAAAAGAACCCTTGCAAATAGATGATTTGCAACTAAAATTTCTTAATAAGTCTTATTATTTAATGAAAGCATATAGTCTTATTATTATTATACCTTTATTCAATGTGATGAAAGCTCTTGCAAACCATAAGCTCAATTTTAGAAAATAATTTCAACTACTCAACTAATAATAACCCTTGCAAATGTTGGATGAAAGTTTCCACATAGTCAATGAAGAACCGAGGACTATTTAAGACTTCCTTCCACTTCATGTGATTCTCCCTTACCAAGCAACCAACCATACTATCATCATCCATCACTGACTTAACCGCCTTGCAAATACTCTCTTTTGAAAACCCCCCATTTTCATCCCTCTCCACTTCAACAGCTACTTCGAGCTCTTCAACCATAAGCCTTGTGTTCAAACATTGGTCAAAGAAATTGGGCACATACACTAACTGACAGTCATTCATCAATCCTTCCCACATTGAACCATACCCACAGTGATTCACAAAGCACCCAACTGATTTGTGCCCCAAAATCAGATCTTGTGAGACCCAACCCCCACAAACCATCCCTCTCTTTTGGACCCTTCCCTGAAACCCCTCTGGCAAGCCCTCTTCTATTGTGCTTGTCCCCTTTGGTGGCTTAAGAGCTACCAGAAATGGCAGCTGCGTTTCTTCCAACCCCAAAAGGAGTTCCTGAAATTGGGTTTTCTCAAGAACCCATTCGCTCCCAAACGCACAGAAAATCACCGAACCATGGCTGAAGTTCTCGAGCCAGTTCTTGATTTCGGCTTCCAATGGCTCTGCTTTGGGTTCGGGCAAGACCGGGCCGGTATAGAGGACGGGCTTTCTATATAGAGCGGAAAAGTAGTCACAGTAAGTCCCTTCCAATTCCTTCACGGTTTTCATTGCTAATAAATCGCAGTTCCTCATTCCTGTGGCAACACGTCCAAAAAGCTTCACAGTGTTATCCCAAAAGGAATTCGCAAAATATGCTAGATTTCGGGCCTCATACTCTCTGAAAAAGACTTTAGAAGTAGGGTACCCTGGCGGAGGCTCCATCATATAAGCCGTTGTGATGGGCTTTGCATGAGAAGTAGAGCTTATTAGCTTAAGTGCTGATATGGTTGGACTTAGTACATTGTAATAAATGGTTTTGAACCCAAGCTCCGAGCCCAAGTCTACCACCCAATCAGCGACGTCAAAGAAAACAAAGTTGGGCTTTTGCTTCTCGAGAATCGCTCGGACCTGCTCCCTGGTCCCGTCCATGGCTTGCAAGAGGATGAAAGAGTCTTTCATTTCGGCCGTGGTTTCGGCACCGGGGGGCAGGCCAGGGACAAGTGGGAGAGTGAGGGGATGAAGGGTTATAAGATGAGGGTAAAGATTGTTGTTAGCTAATTTTTGGAGGGCCTTCTTGGTGAGTAAGAAGGAAATGGCGTGACCTCTCTTAGCAAATTCATTGGCAAGTTGGAGGAATGGTATCATGTGGCCATAGGCAAACCATGGGAACATGGCAATTTGAAGCTTGGAATTGATGGGCTTAGGCATCTTGTTTGTGTGTGGAGAATTAAAGTAAAGAAGCTTTCAATTTCTTGTTGTCAAGTTCATTGATAAGAAATTAAGCATGATATATATAGTAGGCCGGTTGATAGTGGTTATGATATTACAGAGTACTCCGGTGGAAACTTGAACGGAGTGTATTATTCGTATAATATTGCATGTATTATAATCTTGCATGTATTACGTAGTGGAATGTACTATTGGGGTACTCCTCAATAATTCCTTTATTATTTAAGGAGTGTTTGCAAAAAAAAAGTTTTTCACCTTTTGGTTTCATAAAAGCTAAAATTGGCGTTTTGAAGAGACAACTTCTAGTTAAATTAATTACTTAAAAGCTAAAAGTTTGAAACAGGTTGAGAGGTGCTTTACACTACTTTTCACTTTTTATACGGAGTATTAGACAAAAAATACTTATTTTATCAATCACCGTCAATTCTTACTTTTTCACATTCATCTTTTCTAAAACTCTACCAAATTTTACGATTAAACACTTTTTCTAAAATCACTTAAAAAAGTCACTTCTTAAAGTAGAAGGAATCGCAAATAGGGGTGGGAAAAATTGGACCGAAACTCGGAAACCGATCCCATGAAGAACTTTACCCCGAATGGGAACCAGAGTTTAATGGGAGTCAGGGCCGTAGATGAGGGCGTGCAAGAAGTGCTATCGCACAAGGCCTCTCGATTTCAGAAGGCCCAAAATTTTAAATATAGTCCACATAATATAATAAATCTTTATTTATTTGATTAAAAATTCCTTTCCCGTATTTTTTTAAAAACAAGCATTAAATTGTAATATTTATATGTAATTAAAATACAATTGTTAATTACAATTGTGTAATTTATCTATTTCACGAGGCCTAGTTACATTAATTAGCACAAAAGCCCTCGTACAGAATGGAACGAGCTTGTAACTACTTTCTTTTTCATACTTTGTCATTATTTACGTTTCTTAATATATTCTCTTTTCTACGTTTTCATTTACCTTACACCTCTATACTACTCCTACCATTTTCTTCATAAAACCCACAAAAGATCTAAGGAGATTATTATTTAAAAACGGTGAGAGTATTAATATAGTGTTTTATACTTTAGGGCCTCATATTCAATTTTGCACAGGGCCTTCTGTATGTCTGAGCCGGCCCTGATGGGAGTTCACTGCAATACCCCGAACGGGTCAGATAATATACTTGGATCAAATTAACAACGTCATCCAGGACAATCAGTCTGCTGCCGCATTAAATGGCAAGGTGCCACAAGTCGTAGCTCAACTACCACCCAATGGTACATCGATTAGAGGTTACAATGAAAAAATGCATAGGGCTTCCCGCTTCTGCAAGTACCAGATTCAGAGTCTCACTCTCTATCTGTCAGCGATTAAATTCTAATTTGCATCCTCTCATCTAACTGTTCGATTGATGTTGATGGCCTCAGATGGGGTCTCATCATTTTTTTAAATAGGCGTACACCTGCTGCAAAAGTTCCCATGTTGAGGTTGTTGGAGTACTGATCCACAGATTCACTAGCCCTGCACCTGCTGTTGAACCCCACTTCAAATCCTATGTTTTCTTCACAAAAATACACACAGGCCGCAAAGGTAGATTTTGATCAGGTGTTTACAAATAGAGTAGATATCATTTTTTATTTGCCAAAAAAAGGTAAAACAATGGGGAGTGGGGTTAGGGGAGTGGTCCGAAAAAGCAAAAACTGACTTTTGACACGTACTTGGAAAGTAGTGTATGTACTCCTTATTTGTGAGTGTAATTGGTGTACGTATTTCGTGTATTTTTATTATTTTATATCATACCTCATGTGTCACTTAAAACTTTGTCAAGTTTGATCGACACAAGAATTAATAAAGTAAAAACTGTGTAGTTGAGGTTTGTGCAGAGGAGAGAATTATCTGAGAACCATAAATTTGTTTACTTAGAAGAGAAAATAACAAAGTTAGTGGGACATCCAAAAAAGGAAAATTGACAAAGTTTTAAGGGACGGAAGTAGTACTTAATTTGGTTAGTATCAGACTCTTTTACCGATGTGTGATTTAGAACTCTATTATAAAAACGCATAAATAATTGAACTTAGAATAAAGCGGTAAGTGATAGAATAAGTCTTCATAGTTAAAAAGAGATTAAAACAACATCGAAGAATGGAAAATGTAAATATTATAAAAGAAATATAACATTTGAAAGTATAAAGGGGTAGACAATATAATAAGTTTCATGATGAAACTGTTGGGCGTGTCTCGGAAAAACGAAGAAATATAAATTAAATAAAATTAATTAATAAATAAAATAGCTAAAGAAAAACAGAAAAAGAGATGGGACAGAGTTTAGCCAGAGCTCGTGCTACGCACGATGTCCTTAAAACGTATTCGTCGCCTCCCACGGTGCTAGGAGCATTGCAACGACCATTTCCCAGGATACGGTGGCTAACGAACTAACGTTTGAGCACACAAACGAGAGTTCCGGCGAACTGGAACACAATATGAACACTTAGGAATTTTCTGAGTAGCTGGAAGTGTTTTAGAGCTCAAAAATACGTGATGAATGTATTGTGAGTTATGTAAACGCGTGTTGTTGCAAAGCACCTGCCAGCTATTTATAGGAGGATTTGTTGTGTGTTAAATGTAGTGTTAATGGACCTAAACGTTGGACATCAATGATCAGTCCATTGGGCTATTAAGTTCATCCTACATATTAGAAACCTTTTTCATATCTTTGCCCTATAACTTTGGACAAACATTATTTACACTAAGTAAGAAAATCATCATGCCACTTTTCAAAGAAAGCGTAGTAACCATATCAACAACATGTCTAACTATAAGGATTTGCTCCATCACAACTTCGTGGTTGTTTATAATTTATACTACTATTGCCTCCGTTTCGCAATCAAAGTCACACTTTCCTTTTTTGGATGTGCCAAAATAAAAGTCACACTTCCCTTTTAAATGAACACTTCCATCATAATTCATACATAATTATAAATACTTACAATTTCATTCAATAGCACATGCTCACATAATTTCCTATAAATAATCATACATATCTTTACAAGGTTAACATAATTTCTTAAAATAAGTAATTAACCCAAAAAATCACTTCATCCTCAACTTCAGCATCTAAAAACTCAAACACTACAAAAAAACTCGCGTTTTGTCACGGATTTGGTACGTGACAAATGTACTCCGGCGATCGATTTTTTACTCCAGCGAAAACATTTTTTGCTCCCGGGCATTTGTCACGGACAGATCCGTGACAAATCCGTGACAAATTTCAAAAAAAGTTTGTCACGGATGGACTCATGACAAAATCCGTGACAAACCTCAATTATTGATTTTCGAGCGGTAACAAAATACAGTACGAAAAGGGGTTGTCACGGATAAATCCGTGACAGACCCGTGACAAAATTTTTTATATATCCCAACCCCATCGTCCATTACAATTGCAAGAACAACACTTATCGGTTCAAAAATTCGTAGATTCAAGTGATGTAGTATCGGTTTAAAGATTGAATGATGTAATCTGTCAGTTCATCATTTTTCCTATTTATGCAGATAAGGTATGTCATTTTAACTAATTTCTTTTAATTATGTAATAAATTATTAGCTTAGTGAGGTTAGTTGTTCATTTATTTAAACTATTAACGTAATTTTAACGTAATTTAGTGAGGTCATGTTAGTTTTCATATTATTAACAATATATTATTAAACTATTAACGTAATTTAGTTAAATTTAAATATAAATATTAATTAGTTAATTGAAATGAGTTTATATCACCAATGATTAATTAGGCCGGTTTGTTTATTAGCAATTATTGTTATTAATGCATAATTTAGGATTTGTAGTGATTTCAGTTAGCTAGCTTATTATAGCTTAATTAGTGACTTGTAGTGATTTAAGTTAGCTAGCTTAGGTTATTATCACCAATTATTGTTTATTAGCAATTATTGTTAATGCATAATATAGGATTGAAACATTATTAATTAGTTTAGTGTGAATTATTATTGTGAATTAATGAGATAATATTTAACAATAATATTAGTTAAATGTAAATTAATTAACTAAGTTAAAACATTGAACTTTAGTGAAATGGGTTTAGAATTTGAGTTGATAATATTAGTTAGATTTAAATATTAGTTAATTGAAATGGGTTTATAACCAATGATGATTAGGTTTAATTTGTTTATTAGCAATAATTATTGATAATGCATAATTTAGGATTTGTAGTGATTTAAGTTAGGATTCAAACTTTATTAGTTAAGTGTGAATTATATATTATTGTGAATTAATGATATTTAACGATATTAGTTAAATGGAAATTAACTAATTAATAAGTTAAATTAGTTAACTTTAGTATTGTGAATAAATGCCATTAACGTAATAACTTTAATTAGTATTATATGTTAGTTAATTATTTAATGTGTACTATTCGATTTTCATAATTTTAGTATTGTGAATAAATGCCATTAACGTACTGAAATATTAGTTAGTTTAGTGAACTTACTGAAATATATGTTTAAAATATTATAGTAGTAAATTATTTAAATTCCGGCCAATATATTAACATTTTTTATATATTCTAAGTTCACTAAGTTCAACCGAGCTAGCTTAGGTTGTATTAATTTTAGTGAACATTATATTAGTAAATTATTAATTCCGGTCATTAACATATTGATTTTAGTTAATTAATAATATTAATAGTGAACTTGAGTGAAATTTAACATATTAATGTTTCTAAATATGAATTAGTCATGATTGAAAAGTTAGTTAATTCAAATTATTAATGCCACAAATGTACAACTTTTAGTTAATTAATATTATTAATTGAACGTTACTTAATGTACTTATATAATATTTTGATTATAATATATATACAGGCATAATGTATAGATAAAATAGAAGTTGGATGTACCAAAAACATCGTGATAACTATGGAATACGCAGTGAATTTTTTAATGGTGTTGAAGATTTTTTTAAATTTGCACAAGAACAGAAGAATTATATGGATGACGATAAAATCAGATGTTCATGTACAAAGTGTAAAAATCTTCAATTTAAAGATGTCGACCAAGTTGTGTGTGATTTGTACAAAAAATGTTTCATTGCCAATTATTATAATT